ATAAATGAATAATTAAAAATTAGATACATTTTAAAAATCTCGCCTTTACTAAATTTATAGCCAGCTTAAAAATCACTCTTATTACCGCCTTCATATTATATATTATATTTAACATTTATTTACCCCTATTTACCCTATTGTTATAAAATTTATGAAATTAACTATATTTAAACAATGTTTACTCTAATTAGAAACTACTTTACTGTTGTTTAGGGATAAAATTTGAATTAAACATGAATTGCTAAAACTTTAAACTGAACCAGCTGATGTTTCTTCAGTCCTAGGGTGTACCAAGGGATCATCAGAGTTGTACTCTAGCGGAGATGGTCATAGGTAGGGTAGGGCTTCTAGCGAACACAATAACACCAGTGTCTCGCAAACTCTAAATTCTCACTTCCTATTTTTTCTTTCCTTCTTCTGTCCGTCTGGAATTGTGCCCTTAGTTCTTCCGGTTTTTATAGCTCCTTTTATAACATTTTTATACCCTTGCAGAGGGTATTATAATTTTGTCCAAAAGTGTGCAACGCAGTGAAGGAGACATCTCCGACCCTATAAAGTATATATATTCTTGATCAGGATCACCTCCTGAGTTGATATGAGCATGTCCGTCTGTCCGTCTGTCCGTCTGTCTGTTTCTACGCAAACTAGTCTCTCAGTTTTAAAGCTATCGTCTTGAAACTTTGCACACACGCTTCTTTCCTTTGCACGCAGTATATAAGTCGGAACGGCCGGGATCGGCCGACTATATCCTATAGCTGCCATATAACTGATTGATCGGAAATGGTATAACTTTGGTGTTTTTAGAGTTAGAGAGTTCAAATTTGATATGAGAGCTATTTTTGGCAAAATAATACGACATGCCAAATTTCATAAGGATCGGCCGACTATATCCTATAGCTGCCATATAACTGAACGATCGGAAATGACCCAACTTTTGTGTTTTTGAAGATAGAAAGCTGGAATTTAGTACAGACTCTATTTTTGATCCATCCTACCAAATTTCATAAGGATCGGCCAACTATATCCGATGTTTGCGATATATATCCGGTTTTAGCTGCAAGGGTATATAAACTTCGGCTCCGCCCGAAGTTAGCTTTCCTTTCTTGTTTTTTGTTGTTGTCGCAAGCACGCTAAATTCTATTCTAATTAATAATAATGTGTGGCTAGTGTTAGGTTCTACATATACGCAAGACCACCACCCCAAAAGCCGACGAGCTAGAGCCGGATAATAAAGCGTGCCCCGCAATTGTAGAATCTAAAGATACGTCCGATCACGGCTACCCGTTACACGCTACAAAGACTGGATATGAGCCACCCTTTATAAGTTAAGATCCATTAGGCTTTGCTTGAAGTTAGCTCTCCCTTTTTAATTTCATTTTACTCCATAATAAAGTTTAGATTTGGTTTTGTAATAACATCCATGCAGAACATGCTAGAGATTGTGATACATTTCTTAGTATCTTACATTGCTTTCACTACATATGTTTCCTAAATTTGCCATAAAAACTAAAGTCGTTTTTTATAAAACCTTGTATAAAACACGAAGAATTAGGCCATGAACATAAGAATTTTAATTAGCCATTTAAGATTAAATAAAGTCTATCATTATTTTCTTCTATTCAGGGCCCTTTAAATGCATTTTGATGAGTTACTCCTGCTTGCAATAGAAAATTAAAATATAATGAAAAGAATTCCCGAAGCGTCGGCAGCAGAAACAAAGGACGATTCCCAGGTCGCACCGACATGGAGACAAACACATGCGGAATCACTCACGGGACGAGGGTCGACCAGGGTCGTAAACGCCATTATTATTTTGTAAACATTGCGACTGAGCGAGTGCTCCAAATTGTTCGCTGACAAGGTCGTGAAAATACATAAAAAATGGGAAAACATTCGCGTATGAAAAAACAACATGCAGCTCTAACGAAACGGCGGACTCTCACATACGGACAAAAAGACAAATAAACAAGCTAGACACCCTGGTGCAGCAACACACAAACTTTTAATTAATTTCTGTCTGTGCGACCCGGGACTGTATGGGCACATAGTGCATACATACATACATACTATACGTCTAACTGATTGCCATGATACGGTTACAGGTCGGGGGGCGAGCGTTTTGTTTATTTGAATCTTGTGTGTTTATGAGCGAGGGGCGGCGGAAAGCAGAATGAGGGAGCGGAAGTCCCTATCGGCGGACACACACAAACAAGAATAACACAACATTTAGTGTCGCCTTGGTGCTAAAAATGGCTTGACCCAAATGTAATCAGGTAATTTGTTTTGTGATGTCAATATTTATACGGCTGCCACGCATATTTGAACTTAATAATGATTTTCTGAGTTATTGCCCTTACACACTCTCCGCATATCCCATATCTGGGTCCATCAGGACGGAGCTTGGCTCCTGGCATGAATCAGGGATCCCCCGGAGTTGAGGGCATTGATTTGCCCTGGGACGCGGTCTGGTTGTTTGTTCTTTAAATATTGCATGCTCAGCCAGCCTAGACATTAACTTGGCCCAGACATCGGGGCCGCGCCGCCCATCGCCCCTTCTGTTGCCTGTCATTCAAATAGTCAGCTTACTTCAGCTGCTTGACTGGCTGACAGCAAGTGAGAGTAGTGCAAAGAGCAAAGACCTAAATTGATTTAATAGTCCTACATTTGGTATTTTAGTCTGCATGGTCGCCTCAATCCATATTTTTTTCTTCACCGCCAAGTGTTTCTAGTTGCTATGATTGTGAGGTTTGATTTCTAAGAACTATTCTATTAGTATATTATACTATTATATTATTATATTATTATTATTATTATTATTATTATATTATACTACTATTATATTGTATTATATATTATATTAGACCTAAATCCTTGTTTAGACCTATTAGACTTGTACAGTATATATAGTATATTATAGTATAGTATAGTATATTCTATTCTATTAGTTTCAATTAGACCTAGTTCGAAATAAATTCGTAAGTAACTTTTTAAATTATTTACCATATATTAATTATTTAAATTATTCATATTAATTTATTCATATTCCTTATACTTCAAGACAAATCAAAAACAATAGACATCCATTTCATTCCAGCAAGCTTAGGGGATTCCTTAGGATCCACTAAGGGACATATGTATGTCCCATCTGTCAGTTTATGTAAAGGAAATATCTTTAGATAAAAAACAAGGTTTTTTGTGTAGCTTTAAACATGAAAGTTTTTGTCACACAGACCAATCATTTTTGAGAAAAAAAATTCATACGTGAGTTTTTAGGTGGATATACATACCTACATAGATGACTTCCTTCATTATGTTATGTTACACTTTTAACTCTTCCTTGCTATAAGATAGTTTGTCCTTCACGTCCAAAATTTTGTCATTTTTTTTTATTTTTATTCGCTTCCAAAAACAAAGGCAACCTTTTTCATTCCGGACTGGAATGAAAGGAAGAGGGTCGTTCGGCGAACCGATTACGCATAAAGTGTTTACGGGGAAGCGCCTGACCGAGGGTGGCGACAACAGTGACGGGTTGACGACAACAGTTGAAGGTTCAGAGGGTATAAATGCAGAGTTTTGACCATTGACTAAATGGCTGGCAAACATGCGAGCCAGAAAAAGGAGCAATGCGAATGTTTGCGATGTTCATAGGGAGCGCGACTGACAATAATTCAATTTCGGCGGCATAATTATCTCCAGGGAATGGCCGCTACTAATTACGATAACCAACCGGCTGTGCCAGTTGGCACAATTGCGCTTGGCAAAATCAGTCGATTGGCAAATTTTTTTTTGCAATCGGGGCAGCTTCCTTTTAGCGGCCACGGCAAACGTCCGGTACTCTTCCGCTACCCACTCTACCTACCCTTCACCTGGCTGTCCCCAATCCATGCAAAAGCAATTTCCTGAACTCTTAACCGACGGACACAGACACAGATACATATACAAGGCCAGAGATAATATACGCACACAAACACCCACTCACTCCCAGATTAAGACGACGGACTGCTCGACACGCGTTGGGTGACTCACGGAATCCTCACCAGTCTAAAACCAATACCAATTCGTTACCCCTCACAGTCACACATCCTGACACATACCGCAAGGCCACATACATACACCATCGCCAGCGCTCAAATTGCGCGATGTAAGTAAGAAATCATTGAGGTTGGTCGGCACACTAATGGAAAGCGACAAGCGGCATGTGGGCAAACGTTCTGGGTCTATCTTCCGCCTGCCCCACTCCCCAAGGACGCCCCAACAACTTCTACCTACCCCCAGATGTTGACGAGCGATAGTTGTTGTCGCGTTGTCGTTGTAGTTGTCAGCTCTGTGGTCGGAGTTTGCTGCACGTTGGGGTTCGGTTACCGCAAAAGTTTAGTTGCAAGTTGCGGCTCTGCCTGCGGCGGTTCGGCGGGCTGTCGACTCGATGGTCCATCTGCCTGCTCATCTGCCCGCTGCTTCCGGTGACTGTGCCGAGGCACTGATTTTCTCACGCGCTCACCTGCGACTTGCAAGTGGCATTAGTGGAATGGTCATTGCGGCCAAAAGAAACCGCGTCCCTCGAAGCCTTCCGTCGACTCACCATCCGCCAGCCGCCCCTTTTCCGGGGGCAGGATCCCTGGCACGTGACAGTATGAAAGCAAACTCCGTTCACCCAAAAATGTGTCACAACTCTGGAGTCTTGGAGCGAAGTCGGAGCGCCCGAAGAGCGCTATAAAGATAAAGAGCGACCTCCGTGGAAGAGAGCGCTCTTATAATGGCTGCGCGTTGGAAACGGGAGCCGACCGCTGACGCGGCAATCGCCTTGGCGAGCGAAGGCGGTCCCGGAGGCGGAGTCGAGCGACTGACCTGAAAGCTGGCGGGAGCTTTTACTCAGCCGGGCACCGCGCAAGTGCGGGTGCGCTCTTCCAACGTGAGCCGCCGAGGACGACTGGTTCCTGGCCCACTGGAAAGGCCGCCACGTCGTCGTCACGGGTCGTCCTTTGACAGTCCACTTCGTTTGCTTGTTGAAAGCTGTGCACGTTGCGGAAGCGACGGTATCGCTCCTTGTGTCACGGAACTCTCCTAGCCATTGCTATAAAAAACAGGCCCGCTAAAACAAAACAGGGAGACAGCCTGGCACAAAAATAACTAGCGAAGCCAAGGCCAAGTGAGTGCTAGGGCTCAGCCCAAGTCTGCCGGCGGCAAGTGCGTTTGAAATTTTTTGAAATATGCCCCGGGGTGCTGGGACGGCGCGCGAGTACCAAGTTCAAGACCGGCCAAAACGAGTGCCACATTGAGGGTTCCTCCCTCCACTGAGGGAAAGCAATTGTGCGCGTGAGAATCGTAGTGTCGACTACGGAAAAACCCCCAGTGTCCGTGCAGCGCGTATATGGTCTCAGCTCCTGTATCCCGTGGTGGGGCAAATGTGAGCGCAACTAAAAAGTCAACAGTGATAAAAAGTGAAAGCGGAAACGGAAACAGAAAGGCAGAGCGCCAAGGAACGAAGAACAGGCAGCGCCAGTGACAACTGTGAAATGTGCGATTGCATTGTCATTTTGTTAGCACTTTGACCCAGATCGCATCGCATCCGAGGTGTGCGGCTTATGTCTGGCAGTGGCCTATGCAACGGCGTGGCATGCATGACCGATAAGCCAGTTGTTGTCAGTGGCAAGTGAAAATCGCGGGTGCCGACGGTCTGATAAATACATACGGCATAAGCCAACTCAGAAGAACTCCGTCATTTGCTCTTTGAAGGTAATTCTCGTTGGCCGTTCCTTGCATGTGAGTATGACACGTACTTAACTGGATTTCTTTCTACATTCCGCCGTCTTCTTCCACTCGGCCCGTCTAAGGGATTTCGAAGTCCGGACTTTGGTTTATGGCCTGCGGCAAACACAAACATTGCTGCTGTCAAACACACAGTCGAGCTTTGCTTCAAAACACATCATTTACGTCAGCTAAATGGAAGTAGCACAGGTAGCCTAGCAGCCCGGGGCGGAGTGAAATTTGAGTTTAAGCATTAAACTTAAATTAAAGTTAGTTCAATTTCTAAGTGTGGTATAGTTTGTCATTAAGCCAGCACCAATTTTAATCAATTTTCAAATACGATTTATACATGGTTTTACTGTACTTTACCTACCTTAATAACAAACTCCAGTTATATTGATTTGATTTTAGTTATTGCTTCAAACTAATTGACAATGAACCACATTAATTTTCTGGGTGTGTATGAAAGGGCTTATTATTTATTATAAACTCAGACTAAAAATCAGTAAAGAGTATCCTAAGATAGTGCAGTGGGGTGGGGGACTAAAGAAGTACAGGAAGTACAGTATCATTAAGAATTTCAACCATGAGCCATTGCTCATGGGTAGAGCCATGCAATACAGAAATATAAAAAGCTTAAAAATTAAGTGTTTTCGGTCCCTCCCTCATATACCTAGTCATTATTTTACTTCATCGACATTTGTTAAGTACACATCAGAAAAAAAAACCTGGAACTGGATATTTTTATCATTATAAGAAGATATGGTATATTAGACAATCCTTGTGTATTTTTCAGTGAGGTTTCCAAATTTATTATAAAATCAAGAACCTCATTATTTTTAATTCAACGGAGATACTTGCATTATAAGATGGTGCGCACAGAAATTATTAATAATTATTTTAATTTGCCTTTATCGTTATCATTGCGTTACTTTTTTAGAAAAACATCTTGTTAAAAGTCTAAGTTAATTCCAGCCAGGACAATTTTGGTGTTAGAGTTTGAAAATTCGGAAACTATTCATTCCTCAAAGAAAAATTTTAAAAATTTATGAGTAAGATAAAAAGGTTGAAAAGGTTTACTAAATTTGTTAAAATTTTTAAATATAGTGCGAAATTGTTAATATAATTTTATTAAATATTAGATTAAAATATTATAGATGTAGTTGTTTTTAAAAACATTCCCACAAACAAAACAAAACTTATTTATTGGCTTATGAGAAACATACGTTAAAATAAAACTTTAAAAGAAATGACGGCCGTAGTCAAGTTTTCCGACTATATTATACCCGGTACTCATCCCTTCCACCCATACTTTAAATATGTCAACCTTCAAAGTTGAAAGGTATGGATTTTCATCCAAAAATTTTTGTTGCATACTTTTTTGCTTGGAAAAAACAACCGACGCAATTCAGTAGAAAAGTAGAAAGAAAATGTCTATAACTCGTCTAAAAATTTTCCTATTATGCTGAATTTTTGGAACTATTGGAAGTTCCAAATCGGATACACGCTTTCAAAATTTTAACATGTTTGCATGAGAATTGGCATATATACATATGTCTATGTATCCTCTAAAAATCGTCCGAAATTTGTTCAAATTTATTTTTCAAATTTTTGTATAGGGGCGGAAGGAAATGTAGAAAAAACTTGTAACTAACTTGAACTGCATTATAGTCTCTGAGATCCAATAGTTTATTCGGACAAACGGACATGGCAATATCGACTAGGCTATTAATGCTGATCAAATATATATATACTTTATGGAGTCGGAGATGATTCCTTCTCTAGTCTATGAGTACTCGACGAGTACTGAAAAAACATTTCTGGTAGGAATCAGAAAATATTTTTGAATATTGCTTATATTAATTATTTGTTTCAAATTTCTAAACGACGGAAATTTAAGTGCTCTTGGTGGTATTTTGAGGGACCATGGGTCAGAAATCAATTAAATTTATTTCCTCCTCGATGTTAAAATAATGTAAATTTCATATTCGAGTTTCAACAGCGTATAAGCAAGCTTGTAAATAGGGACCAGAACACGCTCGTGTTTGGGTGGCGAAACTTGAGGCCTGGCAATCCTAGCTCAATGTTGGTCTGTCAGCAGGCCGAAAGGCGGAACCAGGTGGGGGGAACAGTGTCAGGAGAGCTTCATCACCTCCGGACCTGAAATGCGGAATGGCGTGGGAGTATTGCCCCTCCGGTTGACTCCCATGAAACTCAGACCTCTAGCCGGCTGTTGACACTAACTGCGGCTGACATCCATTCCTGTTGCGTCGCCTCCACTTGGCAGCCCCGTGTGGCGACTAATGAGCATTTCAGTTGGGGAGAATGCGTAATGTGAGTTCCATTCGCCCTGGCCCTTAACCCACGACCCAATAAAAGCCTTATTGTGGCCAAAAAGTCGAATCGGCACAGCAAACAAGCCTGGGCAAATATTTATATTGGTGCAGCACAGAACTGTGGAGCTAAGAACAAGCCACCCTACTTGTAAGATTGTTGTTTTCTCCAGCTTGATTTGATTTTATTGTGCGCATGTGGGTATACTTCCAAACATCGAACCACCTCCTGCTCGGTTTAGTTCGGTTTGGCTCTTAGTTATTTATACAAAATATCCTCAAGCCTAATAGCAGCGGCAAATAAAAAACAAGCCTTATTTAAATAACGGATCACAAGTCAACTAGTACAATGAGGCTGAACTGATGCTAATGCTGCCGCAGCAAAAATGAAGACTGGAAACAGAAATTGGAGCATGCCCCGTTGGACGTCATGTAAGTTCGCCATTTAGTTATGATTCTTGGCCGAGGGTTCCCCGATCCATTGGCTTAGGCCAGACTGGCTGGCAGCCTGCTCAAGCGCTGCTCCGCTTCTCCTTTTCCGTTTGTTAAACAGTCAGACGAGCACCGTGTTCTGGGGCGATATGAATCTTGTTTTTGGCAAACATTTTACACAAATTATTATAAAAGAAAATGGGATTAAATTTGTAGAGACAAAATATTCACTTAAAGGCCCAACTGAAGAACGAGCACAATGACTGTAGTTGTAGTCTGAGAATATTATTTTCGAGCCAAACTTCATTTATAAATCGCCTGAGTTCTTTCTACTAGCTCTCGTCCTACTCTCAAATAATTTGTATTCATTAGGCCATGTTCATTGGCCAATGATGTCATTGTTAGTAAGTCAGCCTCGCACGTACACTCGCCCCAGTTGTCCTCCTTCGCAAAACCCAGATGCTCCTTCGGCAGGCTTTTTTGTCATTTGCATGGGATCCCCGCTCAAAATTGAACGTGCGCCATTTAATATTTTATTAAAGTATTATTGGATGCTTGCATCGCAATTGGGACGGAACGAACTTTTAATTTCCATTTATTTTTGTGACTGGCAAGGCGGCTTATCTGCCTTCCATTGTGTGCAGCCCGCATTGTGCAACATTTTGCAGATAAATATTGGATAGCATGTTTAGTATATTCTGTTTGATTGCGACTTGCAAGACGAATTTGCGCCAGTGTCCATTGTGTGCCAAATGCAAAGCCTTAAATTTCGAATTACTGAAGCATGCGCAAGATCAAAAGTCAATTAAAAAGTAGTTTAGACGATGAGATGCTTTGTATTAAGTGTCGTTTAAACATTAGGATCCGTAATTATGGGCCTTCATTTCAATTATATGCCATTACGAGGTCCTAATAAAGTGGAGATAATGGGATCTGTTCCAGCAACTGATAACTGGAATATAAGTATTACATAAGCATTAACATATTATTGCCCGGGCGGAACATTTTGATTGATGACCACCCATCGATGTTTCAGACCCATCGTTCCCGAAGTCTTTCTAAATTATTAAGGCTATCGGCTAATTATCGGAAGAGCTTGTGTGTCTTGTCGTGTTGCCAGTGATTTGGCCTTATGTCACTGGGTCGGGGACTGGAACGAGCTATGGGCATTCAATTACTTCGAAATGAATTATTAATAACTGTGTAAGCCGGCTTGCTAATGAGATGTTGCTTAGCCTCTTTTCTGGACGGGATGTACGATAATTTGTATGCTCCGATGACCGGAGCAACTCAGCTTGACACTTATATTCGCTTAGGCCAGATCTGGCTCAGGCCCTGGAAAATACCATTTGTTTAAATGCGCAAATATTTCTAACGTTTTTATTAGTCAAGCAGCAAGTAATTGCCCACAATTAGGCCTCTAATAGCAGGCCTGCCCTGAGCAGCTAGTACTGCCCGGCAGTGCCCCGGGTCCTAAGCACACATCCTAATGGTCCACGTCCTGGCCGCCACATACTTTAGCCCTAAGCAAAGAGAGTGAATCAGGATCCTATGCGGGGCACCTTGGGGATTAGGATGAGCCCGACCACTGGCTGGCAGCTCGTTAACTAAGAATTACCCTGTGTCCTCCGTGTCCTCGAAGTCACTGGAGGTGGTATGTGTATCGTCACTTGTTTTTGTGTTGGCCAGCCATTGCCCTCAAAATTCTGGCGCTCTGCCTCGGAAAACAACCTAATGAAAATTCGTAGTTTGGATTCGTTTGGGTATCACCCGAATCTATTTGTTGGCTCAATTTTTCTACAATGTTCTTGTGTCTGTTTGTTCGTTTGTTTATCCTTTCTGTTTTTCCGTACATCCAATTATTCTACTGGACGCCAGCACCATTTCCATAAATAGATTTTGCGGAATTGTACCGAACGTCGTGGAAACAATTTGCCTACAAAGTCGTGCTTCTTACCATGCGCCATGTATGAAATGTCAATATATACAAATAATGCATGGTAAATAAATAGATGTACATGTATATATTCTTATAAATGGTCTCTGTGACACTGGCGGTAACTATTTGGCACACTGACTGTAGGATTTAAAATTTGGAATATTAGATAAACCACTTTAGGAGTCTTTAGGTCGACTGGTGTGGCAACATGTAAAACATGTAAGTGTGGAAATAACAAGCACCAGGCAGTTGTGTTTAAAGTACTGGGTGCCAAGTACTGGGGAATGGGGCAGATGCGCCAAATGAGTTGT